GGGATAGTTCTAGAAACAAGAGAGCGTGAGAATTGTCACGTGATCTCGATGACGCAACATAACTTTAAAATTGTTGAAATCTTGCAGCTAAACTAAATATATTTATGTATAATGCAAATATGATTTTGCTATGTTTTCTTGGTATAAAAACTGATGTTATTTAAAACTATTTTAGAGCACTAATTACAGTATTTGGAATTGAAATCTATGGTATATGAAACGTGTCTACTTATAGGTCAATGTATATAGATTTTGAAATGCAAAGTTCTAACTCTCATCATGATTCCACTATCCATAAAGTTAAGGTAAAATAACACTGTGTGTGATCTTGCGAAAATTACTCTGTTTAATCTTAATGTAATAATAAAGTAAAGGATATAAAGCCCTTAAATTTATACTGAAAAAAAAATCAGGTAGTTACCAGCAGGTGGAAGTCGGGTTTTCTCGATAACCAACTCAGGAATGCGCCACTTTTGCAAGTCTTCATCCCACACACTGTCCAACTTAATCTTGTCTAAGTTTGAATAGTTGCAATCACGCCGAATGCAAGGTCCAACTTTTTCTAGGATCTGCTGTAGAAGTTTTACTTGTTGATCTTGCTTTCTAATAGTTTCTAAGTAATCTGTACGATCTTCTTCAAACTCACTGTACAAATCGCTGATCTCTCTTTCAAGACCTTGTATCTATTTTGCACAGAAAGCAACACAAGTCAGTTATCCACGAAATGTGTAGAAGCAATCAAAGATTTACAGATGTTTTTTCTTTCAATATACAACTTGCTAAGATTAAACAAAATGATTATCTTTAACATTGTAGCTTTTTATATCTATATTTTCATACAGGCACAAATAATTTCTATGTCTCAAAAAACGTTTTTTTTTTCATAACTGCAACATATAAAATATTATCTAATATAAATCTAAGAAACTTTGCTGCAAATGAAAATAATAAATATATTTAAAAACATTTTTGGACCACATTGTATAGACACTATCTCCACTTAAAATTTTGATGGTAAGATGTCCATTTCTTGCTGTAAAAAGTAATTTAACTGTTTTTGGAAGTGTAAAAATAATACTATAAACATCATTATTACACTGTACATCAATATATATTTTCTGGAAACAGCTACTGTGGCTTCAAATCTGTAAAATCTATATAAATTGTTCCATTTACCTTTAAGTACATGTCCATACATTATAAAAATAAAGCAACATCACTAACTTAAGAGTAAAAAAGAAAATTACTTTTTTCTTTGCTTTCTTAACAAGAGCAGTCTTGGCTTTTAGTTCAATGTGAATGTCATCATATACTTTCAACATGATACCATCATCATCATCCAAATTAGACAAGGCCTCTGGAATTGAAAGAATAAAAAAAAACTATAACACATATTTCAGTCTGTGACCCAATCCTGTACATATTCAACCAAACATGATGTGGGTACGTTAGTTTCTTTATTACAATGTGGTTGTGCAAGAATAATTTACAAAATATAGTACTTCCTCAACTGATTAAAATATATGTAAAAAGCTTCTTTTCTTTTCAGTTAAAAGTTTCTGTGCAGAATATGTTTTTGTAAAGTTAATGTAAAATTTACAACATATATAAATCATTTTTAAGGACAACTAATGTTTTATTTAAAAATTACTACAATGAACTATGAAGCTGTAAGTTTATTGTATCTTCATGGGATTACTTTTAGAGTATATTGCTACGAACCTCAATCCTTTCATGAAAGAACAGGGATTAAAAAAACACATTAAAGTTATTAGAAAAAACATTAATTATTAATAATATCTCTGAAATTTATGAAACATGGTTTATTTGTAAATAACATATAAATTATGATAACCTTTAATACGATTAATTTGTTTTTCAGCATAATTCCTTTTCTTTGCTCGTTTCTCCTTCAAAACTTTGTCATTAGCTCTTTCTCCTCCAACCATCTGAGCCTGCAACTCACGTAGCCTGACAACAGAGTTGGTTAAAACAATAAATAAAAAGAGAAGAATTTGGTAAAGGTTTCAATCTGATCGACTTTATTTATTTTTTGCTAAAATAACTATCCTAAAAACTAAAATGACTGACCTAAATTTGTAGATATAAATGTACACTCTATTATACAAACATCAAAAATGTCAAAAAACACCAAGATATTTTAGCTACAAATATAAATAAAACAAAGAGTAAGCTCATAGCTCTGTGAATCATACTATAAACTAGTTAAAAACTTGAGACAGTACATGTAACTTGCCAATTATGTTCAGGATAAACAAGTATATGAAATTGTAGAATATCACTAATGATCATTATAATGCCAGTCTGTTGTGTCTACAAATTTAATTTATATATAGGCCTATGCAATTTAAACTGAAATATTATCTATCTCTAAGCAGTAATAACTAATTTATAACAATTTTCAACTTTACTGTGTGAAATATCTTAAAATTTGCCAAAAAGGAATATATGTATATATATTTTGTGACTCAAGTTCAAACTGAAACAAGATAAAGAACAAATCACTAATGTTTATGTACACAACAATCAGCTTTCACAGATAGCTTTATAAAAGCTTTTACCGATTAGAATCTCCTTGTCGGCTTTAAGCTTTTCAACAATATTATTAGAAAGTGAACACATTTTGTGTAAACATATTTACCTAATGTTAAATACCAGTAGTTAAGAGCATGTAAGTTTTAGCCTCTGAGATCAGAAACAGTACTTACAACAGTCCTATATACTTATTAACACAGAAATAATCAATCTCAAATGACATTGTAGTTTAAAAATTCAAAGCCTTTTATCTCAATATTTCTGAATCATTGGTCTGCAGACCAGCACTAGCAAATCACAGCCACTTTGCTGGTTCCTGGAATTTCACGAAAATGTAAAATAAATAAAAACTGATAGAATATTCTTAGGTAAATTGTAAGTCTATTATTGTATTTAAATTTTAGTGATTTGTGAGTATAGAGAGAGACAGTGAGCTGGCTTTTGATAACGAAAAAGTTGAGAAACATGGTTTTATAGCATTTGATTTACCATGTGACTGGTGTTTAAAATACACTTTCTATAACAGTTTCTTTGACCTTTGAAGGTAATTACGTTTTTAATCAGATTATACAATTATGAATGAGTTGATGATTTGTTGAGATACAAGGCTTTTTTAGCATAGTTACTTCTAGTAGTGGCAAAACATATAACTACACATTTCCTCTAATTTAACAGATTTTTTTCTTTTTGCATTGGCAAACTTTTGAATGCTATACACAAGATGGCTGAGTATAGCAGTTGAAAACTTGCTAATACAAAAATAAAAAAATCTGTTAATATGCAGTAAGCTTTTAATCAGTTATTTTGTTGGTATATCAGTTATTCTGTTGGTATTATCAGTTATTCTATTGGTACTATTATTCTGTTGGTAATATCAGTTATTTGGTTGGTACTATCAGTTATTCTGTTGGTATTATCAGTTATTCTATTGGTACTATTATTCTGTTGGTAATATCAGTTACTTGGTTGGTACTATCAGTTATTCTATTGGTACTATCAGTTATTCTGTTGGTATTATCAGTTATTCTGTTGGTATTATCAGTTATTCTATTGGTACTATTATTCTGTTGGTAATATCAGTTATTCTGTTGGTACTATCAGTTATTCTGTTGGTACTATCAGTTATTCTATTGGTACTATCCCCCATGATATTACTTTTAAAGATTATCTACTTTTAGTAGTTCTGTTACTAAGAAAAAAGAACTTAAAGAAACAAATCTATTATAATAAAATATTTAACAACGAATCTTGTTTTTAGCATCAGGCAAGTGACACTAATACAGCTACTTGTATTCATTGATCCAATGGAACATATCATAACTTAACTTAGGTGTTGATAACAAATTGGCAAGAAAATATATAAATGTCAACAACCAAGGCAATAGTCTTTTTCTTCATAAAAAATGTCCCCTTTTTTTTACACAAATCATATATATATATATGAATTTTATGACATTTCAAAATAAAATCATTACAATGTAAGTTATAAATAAATATAAAAAAAAAGATTTAAAGAAACTAATACATGACATTCCACCTTTCAAAAGCTTGTGTTCTTATTTCAGCCAAAGACTCCCTGAAACAGATGAAAAGATGGTAATTAGCTAAATAAGTTTAAATTTGATGTATTTTGATATTTCAATTCAGTAACTGTTTTTTGCTTTTGAAACTCAGCAAAAAGAACTACTTAATATATAATAAAATCTATTAAAAACTGTTTTACCATTATCATAATACTTAATTAATCTCTAAGAATAATAGCCATGTCTGTGACACTCAAGCTTCAATAAATTGATTATGAAAAGGATGTTCTAATTTTCTACAAACTGCATTTACTCACTGAGAATGACATCCAGAAACTAGAATATGATTGTAGTACATTCTGTTGTATTTTATTTAAGGTAGAATATACCCTTTACATAGTGTTACCTAGCTTTTGGCCTTTTTATCAGAAAAAACATCTTCATACTATGATTTTTGTATGAAAATATATTGAAATAGGTATAAAGACATATTCTGTGTAACATTCCAACTGTGGCTAATTTGCATATTATAAAAATAAAGAAATAAAAAAAGTAAAATGTTCACAATAACTTCTACAAACATGACTGAATGCTCCTGAAAATGGGCCCAGACTTTGATGGGATGCGAAGAATTAGTCTGAACTAAGGAAAACCTCTGAAAATTAAATCAAAATAAATTGTGATATTTTTTGACATTTAAAGGGTATATGCTACCTTAACACAGTAGTAACAATGAGAAGTAGACTGTGTCATGATACTTTTATCAGTGTTTTAACCAACACTTCAATATAAGTTATGGTACAAATGGAAATACAATGATTGAGTAGGGTAGGTATGAAAGACAAAAAAAGTCTTAATTCTTAATGTAAAATTGTCATGCCTATTATTAACAAAATACTTTTTCCATTATTCTTACCTTTTCCCCATTACATTGCCATATGGTGGGACTGGTGAGGTTTGTGGAGTGCCTAAATGTCCATTTTGATCAAATGTAGCTACTGGTCCTGATGTAACATGAGCAATCTGCTGTAAGATTCAAATATTACGCAGTTTCAACCAAACATTACTTTTCATTAAGAAAATTATATAACACTTAGAAAAACAAACAGGATGTGAACTGTGAAAATTAAATATTTTCAAAATGAATATCACCACTGAATGATAATAAAAGCTCTGCATAACAGAGCTGTAAATAGAGCCAAGTTTAAAAAAAAAGTATATGTTACATTGTAACTTATTACTAATAGTTTATATATTTTGATTTAAGTATCTAAACATCCTTTGAGAACAATATTATTTGTAAATGCTATGGTATAAATTCCAATAAATTGATACACTGTTATCAGATTAATTTTTTAAACCATTTGAACCAGTCTAATAAGTGGTTTTGCCATTATGTTGATCCAGTATGAATATCAAATTTAAAAAATGTAGAATTGCCCAACTAATTAAAACAATTATATCAAGCTATAAGAGAAGCCCAATAAGCACAAAGCTATACATGGGCTATCTGTGCTGTGCTCACTACACATATAAAGAAACCTGGTTTTTAGCATTATAAGCTCTCAGACTTAAAGCTGAGTCACCAGGTGGCTATTGCAAAATTGAAAAGCTAAAGATAGTCAAGCTTTAATTCATGGGTTTACTTATATATTTTGGGAGTCAGCCAGTCAATTACAAGACATGTTAGAGACTCCAGTAATGTGCTGATCTCATCATCTTACTTCTGATTATAAGCAAGCAACTTTTCACCTTAAACATTTTTTCTTTAACACATTTGCAAACTACACTTTGGTTGGTAGCTTCCTAAATTACATGTAACGCTCACAATTCAGCCTCTAGATCTTATGCCTTAGGAAAACATGCATGAGTTTTTTCCCAATATTAACTGAGCAAGATTTGTCATAAATAGACTTTCAGTTTTTATATATATATATATATATACATGTTAAATTTTACTTAATATAGTATAGAAGATATGATTAAAAGAAATTAAAACAACCATTTAACACAAGAAAGCATGCTTGCTACACAGCTTCATCAAAGCTGTGAACAGTTTGCATTCCTGAAAGCAAACTATTTATTAATATGTAAGAATCATGTTTATGTTTGTTAACAGTGTATGTGGTTATTATATGTAAACTTGTTTGTTAGCTTTTTCTTTTGGAAATTTCTAACCCTATATGCATGGGTGGAGGTCAAAGTGTGCATTTTATTACATTTTACAGAGCATTATTCAACATAGTATTATATAATTGATGTAGAGTTACCAACTATTCATTTTACTATACATTGCTGATTTAACTACACCTTGTGGTAGAGCAGATACAATATATAGGTTACACAAATACAATATGAAAATTGTCCAATAAAAAAAGTATTTTTCTTCTTCACATGAACATCACCTTGCACTCCAACTTGTCAGTCTGAGCCATACTGACATTGGAAATTCACAGGCATATCTTGAGTACAAATACTTTTGTAACAAATGTGATATTTAGCTGCTGCATAGTGGCTCATTGTTTCATTATCTCTTGACAAATTTGAGATCTAATTACAGTTTTGGAATCAGGAGACCAAACCCTTTCGACTGATTTATTTTACCACACTCAAGGTCTCAGACTAATTAACTCTAATTGTGCTTAAAAGAATTTCAAGTTGAGGGTAGGCTGATAAAGATCCCGATGAGTAATAAAATTGAATTAGGTGTACAAGCACCCCAAGCTTAGCATTGCTGGCACACAAACATATAGTAAATAAAAAAGAAAATAAAGGTCTCGTAGATTAATTTACTCTAATCCTGCCTAAAAGAATTTCAAGTGCCACAGTTATTGAGGATTCTCTCTTGTTTTGTATACAACAGAATTGACTAAAATTTTGAGAAATTTTGTGTAGATAAACACAGTTAATTCAGAATTATAGTCTACATTCCTTTTCAAATAAGGGGTCAGTCCATGTACACTCGATTAAGTAGATTATTATTTGTTGACAAAAAAATTCTTACTAAACAAAACATCTATTTTCAAATAAAAAGCTAGTTTTCAATGGGCTGAAAAATAAAATATTCAAGTATTTCTGGTTAAATGGTCACTTCGTTTTATAAAAGGTGGATTAATTAAGTATAATTAAGTTGAAAAATTATAATAGAAGGTAGTAGACATATGTAGCAACCTTGTTAAGTTGCTTTTATGTCCAAGTCTTTTCACCATCATTACAGTGCCTCGTGAAACTTCTTAACAATAAATCACATACATTTAATATTAGTACAAGTTATAATATATCAGGTCGTCAAGAAATTAATATCACTTTTTTTTAGTTGAAAAAACCCAAACAACTTATATATCAAAACAAAACATTTATTAAAT